ATATAAACATAAAAAATCATGTTAACAGTGAAATTTTGATATCATAAGATAATAAAGTAGATAAGAGCCCAGTATAATGGAAAGCACACTAGCTTTGAGTCAGAAGATAGGAGTTTGAATACTGTGTCTTGTTACTTAAAATTTGTATAATCTTAAATCATTTCTCCCTAGACCTCAGTTTCCTTATCTGTACAATGTGAGAGTTGGACTAAATGACCTCTTAGGTCCCTTCCAGCCCTACACCTCATGATTCCAGGAACCTCTCCACCTTCCAGACTTGTCTCTCTTCCATTGCCCTTCATAAGAAATCTCTTACAAGGTTCTGTGGAAAGAAGAGAAGTTCATGGAACCTCTTGATGAGAGCCCTCACTCACTCAAATCAAAGTCAATTGCAAGTCATGTCATCATCTCCCTAAAGTCATGGTCCTTTGAGAAGGAAGGACAAACAACCTGTGAGTAGTCTGAGCTGCCTGAATGGTGTGGAACTCAGCTGGCCAGTTCCAATTGGATAACTCCTTTCCTCTCCTCCTCTCCTCTCCGCTGATGGCCAAAAGCAACCTGGTTAACTTGGGGTTTACTGGGTAAATTTCTTTCTCAAAGACCAAGCCTGAAATCCAATTCAGGCTGGATCTCAAGGGTTGGACAACAATAGGTCCCCACCCAAGCACCACTTAATGGTTACTTTTTGGGTCCTCAGGGCTCTGAGTGAATGTAATTAGTAACTGTTTCTTTTTTGGCCAGCAACCCTGAGGGTCTTCCCCTCTCAGTTAGTTTGCTTGTTTTATTAAAGGAGCCATCCCTGGACTTAACTTCTTAAAGAGGCCTCTTCACTAAATGGGAGTTGCCTCACTCAAAGTGAGAACCTTAAAAGACCTTAGTTTAAAAGGGCCAGGGTCTCCCATTGTATTCTGAGCCATCTCCAGTCGTCCTGAGGAATATCTGGCCACTGGACCCAGATGGCTCTGGAGGAGAAAGTGAGGCTGCTGACTTTGCACAGCCTCCCTCACTCACTTTAAAGTCAATTGCAAGTCTTGTCATCATCTCCTTGATGTCACGGTCCTCTTCAAGAACAAAGGATAAACAGAACAACAACCTGGTGAGAGGCAACACTGTTAATAGCCCTTTCTACTCTCCACCATTGTTCTTATAAAGCTGATTCAATCATGTAGCCTTCCCTATGTAAAAATTTAAATCAGGCAAAGTTTGAATGGATACCCTCCCACCTTGGTTCTTCTACTTCCCCCCCATGCCAGGATTCCAATATATTGTACAAGCATGGCCTTGTTCCCTTATACTATCTATCTTAAGCATCTGTCAGAGTCCTCACCTAACCCAATGCCTTATGCTCCTTAATTATTTCTCCCTCCATACTCCACTTCAAAACTCTCGTTTTGCCAGAGCCCCAATCCCAACTAATATGTCTAGGCAAAAAGCAATTAGACAAATTAGAGTAAGACATTAACGACTGATAACATCTTAAAATGTTCCACTCTCCAAGTGGCATCTACATTTTTTTTTGGTTTCTTTTTTGAACATAAAATCTCATTGGCATAGGGAACCTCTGTTGAGGAATTTCTACCAATACAAGTTAGTTCCTATTCTTCAACTTATTCTCTTAAGACAGTTGCCATGGGGCACTAAGAGATTAAGTGACTTGGAGGGACTATATATATCAGAGGCAGGACTAGAACCCAGGTCTTCCTGATCCCAAGTCTGACTATCCTCTAACTTGTTGCCTCTCAGTATCTGCACATGTAAAGTACAAACTGGACTAGGGGTTGGTTAAATCCAAAGAAATTAATCTCTTGGTAGAATTTTAGACTATGTGTGGCCATAGAGTTCCAAATATATGTTACAATAAAAAGTGCCTTCCTTGTACCCTTCAAATTCCATCCAAAAGGCAACCCTCTGTCACACTGATATACAAGGCCTGCCTTTCTAGATCAGGATAAGACACGAAAATGACAGGGGCCCAACAAGGTAAACAAGAGATTTATTGTTGTTGTTCAATAGTTTTAGTAGTGTCTGACTCTTCATAACCCCATTTCGGGTTTTCTTGGCAAAGATAGTGAAGTGGTTTGCCCATTCCTTCTTCAGCTCATTTGAAAGATGAGGAAACTGGAGCGAACACGGTTAAGTCTAAGGCTGGGTTTGAACTGGATTTGAAGTCTTCCTGACTTCAGGCCCCAGTGCTCCATCCACTGCGCCACCTAGCAGCCAAATAACAGAATGCCACTTCTTTTTCATCTGCCTTGAGAAGCAAAGATCAGCTATTCTGTTTATAAAGACTACAGAAAAAGCAGAAAAAGAATCTAGTCATCTGAATTTGTGGTTCAGTGAAGACTGCAATGGATTGGGAATCAGATGCATTAGAGTTTGAATACAGATTCTACTACTCTCTATGTGGCTTTGAACAAACCACTTTTCTCGGTCTCAGTTTCCTGATCTATAAAAGGAAGGCTTTGGATTAGATAACTTGATGGCCTTTTCAACTCTAAACCTATAATGTTATCTACCTTTAAAAACTTTGCTCTTGGCTTGGTAAAAACATTTTAAAATGATCTCTATAACAAAGAAGAGAAAGTTACTAGAAAGTAAAGGCTTTAAAAATCTTTGCTCAAGGCTTTAGTAATTTACAAACTTCAGTTTACCCTGAAAGCCATTTTTAGAATTGTGATCATCTGTCACCATCAAACTACAGCTCTAGTTGTATCTTCACGCCTCAAATGGAGTATAGATATAGCAGATTCAGAATGTGTGTGGGGGGGATATTTCTTTTTTGTCTTGGCTTATACAACTTGATCATCGACACTAATCAAATTAAGCAACCATTTGTCAAAATCTCACTTCACTTTATGATGTATAGATGAAGCACCTAAGTCCTATGAAGGATGATACTTTAACTTTTTAATACTGGAGTACAGACAGGACACTTACCCACAATAGCAGATGAAATAAATTATATATCCTGTCATTTCTTCCATAGTTATGTGGAATGCTCTACAGGTTTCTGTGGGCTTTTTGTTAGTTTGTTTGTTTTGTAGCATTATTTAACTTAAGCCTGATTGTCAGCCACTCCAAAGTATGTTGTCCTACATTGTCTACTTCTGAGCTGGAGATCATTTAACTATAAACCCCATGTCAACACGGTGAAGTGGAATGCCAGAAAATATTCCAACTGAAGCATTCCACAGCTTTTCTGTGATTTATGAAAAGCAAAGCTGTAGTAAAAGGAGGGGAAATATGATGGAAGTCAGTGGACTACTAGGAACAAACCCTGGTTCCCAAATTCCTGACATCGTGGCTTCTAAATTCTAATACCATTGCCTGACCCAGGTGCTTGAAGGTGTAACAGTCATAAAGGCATTTTAGCAAAAACTCCAATTTAGTCAACTTTCTGGAACAACACACTTTCATTAACTCAAAGTTAATACGAATATATGCATATGTGCAAGTACCCATATATAACTAATGTAGATAGGAATGGGAGATTTAGAGAGGATTCAAAAAAAATTTTAATTGAATACATGATTTCTCTAAAAAAAATGTTTAATAAAATCTGTGAAGGATGTGTTTGAATACTCCACCTTAAGACTTACTTAGCAAAGCTTTAAACTTTTATGAGATGGATTCTAAGTTGACCCTTCAGTTCTAATGATCTGTATTCCTATGATTATGCCATCAAGAAAAAAGTAGACAACGCAAAGAACCCCACCCCACTCCCATTCCCTGGAGGGATTTCCCCCTTTATTCTGGCACTTTGGCATTTTAATTACAATCAAAAAGGAAAGGATTCATACTACATAACATCAAACAAGAACCCCTAATCAAAATGGGCTTTCTTCTCCTGCCTGGGAGTGACTACTATCAACAAATATTTCAGCTTTTTGGACTCCTACAAACTGATGACATAAACAAAACCCACACATTTTCAAAAAGTGAAAAGGCCTGCAAGAGAGGAGGTGGGAACAGAAGCCACCAAATGCTTTAGGATGAAGGAAACAAACCGCGACAGGCATGACTTCTAGCCTCTGAGAAACGGGTTCCCCTCCCCCGAAAGTTACAGAAGCACTGACATTTTTTAAGTGCCTTTCCAACATTTCAGCACCCACAGCATCCATCTCTGTTTAAAGCCTCTGCTTTCAGAAAAACCCTCAAGAGAGCTGAAGTTTCTCCTTCCTGCCTCAATCCCTCCTTCCCAACCCCCCAACATCAATTCTCTTCCCCTTTCTTCCCACCTCGTTCCCCACAAAGGAGTGGGGGAGGTTTGAGGGGGAGATACCACAACAACCCTTTATCCTGATTAGAAACTTCCCACGCAAAGTCACAGCGGCTGGCTGCTCAATGCAAGAGTGCCTGAAGCCTGACGCGGACTTCCTTCGCTGCGAACAAGTTTTGCTCCTTCTCAAACTCAGACTTAGGATGGTCCCACGGGAGCTCCTAGTTTCTCTAAGAAAATTCTGCGTGCCCAACACTTTCCCTTCTCTTCCCGCAGCTGTCGCCACCCTTGCTAACCGGTGAAGCAGAGGAGAGGGAAGGTTAAAATATAGGAAAGGACACCCAAGTGCTCCTGGCGTTCCGCGCGCAAAGACGCGAATCCTGAGCGCAAAGTGTGCCTTCCAGTTCCACAAGCCCCGGGAGCTGTCTCCGAGGATTCCGGGTCAAAGCGAATCCGGAGTCAGGGGTGACGCTGGTGGCGACCAAGCTTACGGTCATCACCTTCCCGTGTCCGGCTACTGTCCTCAAAAGATGCCCCGACCAGCCACCCTCTCCATCTGCCACCCCCTTTCCTTGCTGGAGTGAATGAGGATGGACAGGTTAGTGACACACTGCAAAGCACAGTGGGGCTGGAATTGGCCCCTCCAGGAAGCGACAGGACGGTGGCATGGAGCGGTGGGAGGAGGAGAGATGGAGAAGAGAAATGGAAGGGGAGAAAAGACGAGTGAGGGGAGAAGAATAAGGGGAGGAGAACCTGCTCCCCTGGGACTGGGGAACTGTACCTGGTGCCTCCGCGGAGGCTAAGTAGACGAGCGCGGCCAGGAAGAGCAGCGGGAGCCCGGGGAGCCGGGATGCGCGCCCCGTGAGAGCCATGGAGCCCGGAGTGTACGTTATTACCAGCCTTGCAGAATGGCTCACTGCTTCTGCCAGACCCCAGACGGGAGGGCAGGAAGAGGACTCCGCGAAGGCAAGCGAGTTACCGGTCCTGGGGCAGTCCCCACAAATGCTGGCTGTGATGCAACCCAGCTCCCAGCTCTCTCCCTCCCCGCTACACCCTCACAGGAGCAGTGACCAGCGCCCGCCTGTGCCGTCCGTGCGTCTTTCACACCCCAGCACCGCACTTCATCACTGAGGAGGCTTTTGCCCGGGCTGATGCTCTTTCTATGTGTTCCTCTGCCTCCCCCTGCCGGGTCGCGCGGACAGCGCAGGGGGCACTGCGGGATGGGGTGCCCAGAAAGGCGGAGCAAGGGAGAGACCAAATGGGTGGAGGGTGACTGAGGGATGCGGTTTGAAATCTGGTTGGTGTTTCTGGAGAGGTAATGATTTATGTGTAAAGGGAACAAGCCAAGGAAATTCCTTCGCTCCTCTCCCCTCCCTTGTTCTTTGGCTCTAAAAAAGCCTTTTAACTTCCAAACCAAGGAATCCACTTTGTCCTCTTAAATAAATAGCTCCGGATAATGCAGACATGAACCTTATCCAAAATGCTTAACATCCGTTTCCAGATTTCTCTCTGTTTTGTGGCTTGCCCTATCCTTCCTGCTCATAACTAAATCAATCATTTGTTTTTCCTTATGCATTTTATTATGCCTGACCATCTTTTCTCTGGCTATCACATGCTGATTTTAAACAGCCCTGCCTATTAGTCTGCCTAAAGAATAGACTTATTTGATCTTGATTCCCCCAACTGCTGTCATTTTTATATAGTGGACTATTACAGGTACTCTGTTCGTGTCACTAGTGTCACATCAATTCAACAAACCTATGTTAAGCACCTACCAATACAAAGCACAGGCTCAGCTTTCGGGCATACAAAGATTTTAAAAATGACAGAATCCCTGCCCTCAAAGGAACTTACAGTCTAAAAAGGGAATACAGTAGGGACACAAAGGTGGTACAAGGTAGAATGAAACAGGCAAAAGACAGATCTTAACAAAGGGCACTAGGAACTTTGAAAAGGAAGAGAAATTGCACTCTGATGGGAAGATCAGGATGAAGTTGGCCCCTAAGATGAACCTTGAAGTAAGAGGATTTGAAGGGACAGATATGAGGAGGAAATGCATCCAGACATAGGTTCCAAAATACTGTATAAACTATATGGAAGAAAAAAACACTTCAGATAATATAAGTATATATCTCTCTTCCAATAGTGTTGTTTAAGGTATCTATATGACCTTGGAAAAGTAACTTGCTTTCTCTAATTAATAGCTAGCATTTCTATAGCACTAAAAGATTTGCAAAGCTTGGGGCAGCTAAGTGGTGAAGTGTATAGCAAATTGGCCCTGAAGTCAGGAGGACCTGAGTCCAAATCCTGCCTCAGGTATTTGACCCTTAGTAGCCATGTGACCCTGGGCAAGTCACCTAACCTCATTGCCTAGTGCCCCCCCCAAAAAAGATTTGCAAAGCACTTCACATATGTTTGCTCATTCAGTCCTCACAACAACCCTGATAGATAGATACTATTATTATCCACATTTTACAATTAAGGAAACTAAGGCAGGCAGAGGTTGTGACTTGCCCCAGGGTTACATACTTGTTAAGTGTCTGAGTCAGGATTTTAATTCAGGTCTTCTTGATTCCACGTCCCATGGTCCTGTTCACTGTGCCACCTGGCTGCTTCTAAGCCTCAGTTTCTTCATCTGTATAATGGGAATAATGATATACCACTTCTTTCACAGGGCTGTGGTGAATATCAAGTAAGATAATATGCATGTGGCATTCTGAGGCAGCATAGCCCACATAAATTTTTTCTAGCATCCAACATTCAACCAGGCTTCTTGGAGGTGTTATCAGCAAGCCTAAAAATCTAGATGTTAAGTCACAAAAAAGCAAATAAACCATACAACTTCTACCTTAATACTTTAGAAACATGACCAGATTAGAATACAGCCCAAATACTTCTCCTTTCAGGAACCCTTCTCTGATGACCTTGGACAAGTCACTTAGCCTGTCAGATTGGACTAGTTTGCCTTTGAGATCCTCCCAGGTCTGAATCTATGATCTCATGAGACCAAAATCCTACAGCAGCCTTCCTTGATCTCTCTCTTTTTTGAATTTTCCTTGTGCCAAAATGCCTATTGGGCATTTTTAACTGGAGGTTCTAAAGGCATCTCAAACTCAATATGTCTAAAACAGAACTAGACCTAGCATCAGAAAGACCTGAGTTCAAGTTCTGCCTTACTACTGGACATGTCACTTAACCTCTAGCTACCTCATCTGTAAAATGGTGGTAATAGCACTTACCTCTCAGGATTATTGTGAGGATAAAATGAGATATTTGTGAAGTGCTTTGCAAACCTTAAAGTGCTATGCAAATGCTAACTCTTATGTCCTTCTGGTCCCCCAAGTTCACAACCTCCAATTGGTTCTTAATTCCCCACTTTCCCTACCCATAGTTGCTAAATCTTGTAAGTTTTACAATTACACCATCTGTCCCCTGTATTCCTTCCCTCTACTCATTTGGCCACCACTCTAGTTCCAGACCTCATCACCACTCATCTGGACCATTTTAATATCTTTCTAATTGGTCTCCCTGCCTCAAATCTCTTCCCTCTCCTATCTATCATCCTCAAAGATGCTAAAATATTTTTTCCTAAAGGGTATGTCTGACCAAGTGGTGAGACACAAAGTCCTAAAAGAATTGAGAAAGGGGAAAGGCTAATGAGGGCTGCAGTCAGTACCCTTCTCGATAAACTCCAGCAGCTTCCTATTATTTGTAAAATTGAATATACCTACCTCTATTTGACATTTAAAGTCCTTCACAATCTGGCTCCAAACTACCTTTCTAACTTTTCATTACTCCTTCTCTTGCACTCTATGGTTTAGTCCAGGGGTGGGGAACCTGCAGCCTTGAGGCCACCTTGAGGTGGGGCCTTTTGACTGAGTCCAAGTTTTATAGAACAAATCCTTTTATGAAGGGCATTTGTTCTGTGAAGTTTGAATTCAGCCAAAGGGCTATACTTGAAGACCTAAAGGGCCACATAGGGCCTCGAGGCCACAGGTTCCCCACCCCTGGACTTAGCCAAACACTTTTCCTGCTGTTCCTCACATATGACATTCCATCTTCTGTCTCCACTCACCTCCACTTCTTTGAATCCCTTGGAATCCCTTCAAAGCTCAGCACAAATGCCACCTCATCAGAGCTTTCCTGATCCTTCCAGCTACTAGTACCCTTCCTCTACAAAATGGCCTTGTTTATTTTGTATATACATATGTATGTACATGTCATCTCATCCAGTAGAATATAAACAGCTCAGAGGCAGGCACCATTTTATTTTTGGTTTGGTATACATAGTGAATAGCACACAGTAGGCACTTAATCCATGCCTGTTGATTGATTGATTAAATATGGATTACAGTCCTTTCCACAGGTAGTGGAATCATTTAATGCATTGCTTTGGCCAAAAAAAAAAAAATCATCGGTTGGTTACCAACCTTCTGGTGAAAAACATCTCCAGATTTCAATAGGCTGATCCTTGAACAACGGGGATATAGTCTTTCCCTGAGCCTGTACTCCAAGACTTTCTAGTTTGGTAAGGTATACCAGAGCTTGTGTTCTGCTGACATAAACTTTGAGCAACAAGGGTCACCTCCATATCATGGTAAAGCATCAGAGGAGGACTTACATGGAAAACCAAATCTTTTTATTGCTCACTAGTTCATATGTGTTTCTTGTGTTGATCTTCTGTTTTGTGCTTCTTTTGTATGACTCCTGGCACAATAGTAGGTATACAGCAAATGCTCAATAAATACGCAAATAAATATGGAAAGATTGGTCTAAACAAAAGTGAAGTAATCTATAAGTACATATTGGGCAACTACTGTGTGCCTAATATGCTGGGTGGTGTAGAAGATAAATGGAATCTCATTACCTTAAGCCTTGTGATTGACAAACTTTTGCAACCTTTGGGAAATTTAAATTCTTTGATCCATTTTTAAATTTTTTAAGATTTATAAAATCTGTGTTTACATGTCTTCTTACAGTGGAGGGTGTACTTTTCTACAGTGGTGCACATAAGTGTACTATTTCAGTGTTACACAGTACAAATCTGAGATTTTTCGCATCACTAGTTCAGAATAATCTGCCCTGGATTCATTTGAGATTGTCCTTGATTTGATTAGAAGATCAAAGAACTCACTTCAGTGTTCTGATTCTGATTCTGTTCCCACTTCTAGTATGCCTGTGTCTAAGGAAGACTGCCTAAAAAGATGTTTCCAAATCATTACTATCTTTCATTTTCAAAAAGAAAAAAGGAACCACTTTATGAACATTTCTTACTGTGGCTTTCTAACTCCTTCTAGAAATTTACAAGCACGCAGAAAAGTTTCTTTGTTCCAGCCCATTTGGCACCAATACCAGACACATTACTGCTCTGATGGAGCGGACCTTTTGATCACATCATCTCCTCATAAACTCCTGGCCCTCACTACTGGGCTAGTGAATGAATTCATGTGTTCAAATCATCCTCCAGGATAATACAAGTCATTAGCCCTTCTAATATTCTGAACTGCCTTTAAATACATTAGATTGCACGGTATTTGGCTTGTGTAAGATGTAAGAAGTCTGGAAAAATAAGAAAGGAACAGGTTATGAAGGGCTTTGAACACCAGATAGGATTTTATATTTGATCCTGGAGGTATTAGGGAGCCCCTGGAATTTATGGAGTATGGCGGTGGCATGGTTAGACTTGGGCTTCAGGTAAGATCACTTTGACAGCTGAAAGGAGGATGGACTGGAATGGGAAGACTTGTGGCAAGCAGTCTAATCAATAGGCTATTGTAATTGTCCAAGAATGAGATGATGAGGACCTGTACCACTGTGGTGGCAGTTTCAGAGGAAAGAAGGGAGTATATATAAGAGTTATTACAGAAGTAGAATCAATAGGTCTTGGCAACAGATTGGATTGGGTGGGGGGTGGCAGTGTGAGAGAAGGTGTTGAGGATAGCACTTAAGTTTCAAGCCTGGATAGTCACCCAGGAGAAGAGTGGTACCCTCAACAGTAATAGAGAAGTTAAAAAAGAGGGGAGGGTTTGGGAGGAGAGATGAGTTCTGTTTCAGAGATGTTAAGTATAAGACGTCTATGGAACATGCAGTCCCAAATGTCCAACAGGTAATTGGAAATGCAAAATGAAGGTTAGGAGAGAGGTTAGGATTTGAGGAGGTTGAAGCTGATTTGAGAATGATCGGCATAGAAATGATGATTGAATCCATTGGGAGCTGATATTACCAAGTAAAGTTGTATAGAGGGAAAAGAGGGCCTACAACAGAATCCTTCAGTTCCTCAACAGTAAAATGAGTAGATGCAGGAGATAATTTTTAAAGTTCCTCCCAGGTGTAATATTTTGTGATTAAGAAACAAGATAAAGCCTGTTTCTAAGATGCATCCTTTCAAGAAATGTTTATTGAGTGCTGACTATGTTTAAGGTACTGTGGGGAATATAAAGAAAATAAGATACTGTCCCTTCCCTCAGAATTTACTGTCTAATAGTTAAGATAAGACATTAGTAACCAACCAGAATACAAGGTCAAATGCAGTCAACAAGACTTTATTAAGTGCCTGCTATGTGCCAGGCACTATGCTAAGTTCTAGGGATACTAAGAATAGCAATAACAGCTCCTACCCTCTAGGAATTTACAATCTAACAGCAGGGGAGACAAAATACAAACAACTATATGCAAACAAGATATGTGTGTGGGGGTGTATAATTAAAGATAATCAGCAGAGGGCAGGCTTTAAAATGAAGAGAGTTTACAGATTAAAAAACAAAACAAAACATTCCCCTAACCTCAAGGAACTTACGTTCTATTGAAAGAAACAATATGTACATAGAAAATGAAATATAAAACATAGCCATAGAAACTGGACCTATAATTTCATTAGCATAGGTAAATCCCAGGTGAGGAAACTTCCTTTATCAATGCAACTTATATAGTCTTAGAGAATTACTCTTCTTAGAGAATGACTTAGGTATGGTAGTAGTAGCAGCAGTAGCAATAATAGAAATAGTAGCGGTAGCAGCAATAGTAGTAGTAGTAGCAGCATCAGTAATAGTAGAAATAGCAGCAGT